AGAGGTTGTGGTTTATACCAGCCCAGTCTCCCAGGAATTGCATTCATATCTGACAATTCTGCAGTACACGATTTATGCTCAGTGCCAATGTAGAGGTAGGATATTTATATTAAGCTCCTGCAGTTGACGTCAGCCTATAGCCGTCAGTCACAGCCACTATATTTTAATTAATCTCTTCATGGTCATGGTATAGTAAATATAGTAAATAACATTAACTACTGAACCTGGGTAGTTTCTTGTGAAATGTTATCAAAGAAAATTAAAACAAATAGGCCTATAAGAAGTATAAACTGATACGGATATCAGGTGAAACCACCAGCATACATATTAAAGGACCATTGTATAAAGCCCATGGAGGTCACAGGACAGTTATCATTTTAATAGATTAATGACATTCAGATTTCAAAGGTTAACTGTCTTTTAGAAACAGCATTTGGATGTGTTAAAGGAGTAGTACTATGAGTTGGGAAATGGAAGCGACACAGTAAAGATAATAATTCATACAACAAATAAATGTAAAACAATGTATTATTGCAGTTTATGAATGCTGGTGTGTTGATTCTGCCTTTCAATGTGGCCCTAGAGGGCAGCATCACTGTAGACAAAGGTTTAATGGCTTTACCAGCTAGCTAAATTTACAGCAAAACACTGGGCAAATTAAAACACACGATAGTTAGGCTAAATGATAAAACAGTTTCACTGGTCAAAAAGAGTATTGGATAAAACAGTTACAGTGCTATTTTACCAAATATTAATAACTCACACCCCTCACTCTTCTAGCACATAATTTCATATATGTAATTTCGCTTTGGCAGTAACTTTAACATTCAATAAGTAAAGCTTATTTGAATTTGAATTAGCCAATCAGTTGACAGTGTGGCGACACAAGCAGCAGCTGAATGATAATATATATTAAATGATGTTAAAACAGAAAGCACTCATTTCTGTTTTGTCAAACTTGTAATGTAACCCCAAAGAGGATTTGTTAACCAAAAAAACGTGTCGTTTGGAAGCTCGTCGAAGTTGGTGAGTCACAACAATAAACTAAAACATTTACTGCTAATTGTATGAAATTAGGAGACAAAGTAACTTCAGCTATAGGTATGGGGCTAGTAGCAGTATTTGGCTCGGGAGAAGTACAGTCAGCTAAGAGTTAGGGAGAGGAAGCAGTGCTCTTCCTGTGTGTGTGCAAATGCTCAGTGTTTAACTGTTAGCTGTATATTAGGGTTAGCTAATAACCTAAACATGATGGTGGGTGATTCTGATTTACAAAGAAAAACAGTTTAAATTACTTTTATTTCTTACATTCAACATCTATGTGTTGTTAAGAAGTTAGTTGATTGTAGTGTTTGTTGTGAAAGTTAATTATGTTAAAGGTTATTGCATCTATTGTTATAGGTTTTTTTTCCCAATAGAATTGATTTTGTGCTCATATTCTTTAATAGTCCTGTATGGTAATTTATGAGTGAGAGTAAGTTCTGCCTTTAATTTATGCAAGGCAGGTTTGTGAGTATGATTGATGTTGATGGTGAGCCTACCCAGTTAAAGGAGATTATCTTATGTTTTCAATCACTACAGTGAAAGGACAGTGCACCCCACTGGTTATGTGGTTATTGTTTCTATTGAGGTCCTTTGATTACTTTAGGGGCAAAATATCAGTAATTTTAAAACTGGTTTTCACGAAGCACGTTGCTTATGTGCCAAATTTTGGGATATTGCTTTGAGCAACTATGATCAGAGTCTATGATTCCATATAACAGGAACAGCACGGTCAAAGGTGCCACTTACCTGACGTGTGTCCAAAAGGCCCCTTTGTTATTACCAGTACATTTTTTTGCTGAAACCATGATGATGATGATAAGAGTTTATAACTGTGACCATGTCTTAATGTTTGCAGGACACAGGTTTTTTAGTTGATGCTATGGTTGTCCAATATTTTATTGTCCCACAGTGTGGAGCAGCTTGCAGCTGCACAGAAATTTAAATTGGCAGCATTGAAGTGATATACGTCGAGAAAAGTCTTCACTTTCATCATCACTTTCTGCTAGTACAAAACAGTTTGTTGATTTATTATATATTAAATACAAAAATGATCATTTGCACACAATCATTTTTACTAAGGGATCACACAGTCAGTGTGTTAATTGAATGTGTGCCGGAAACAAGTGCATAGAAGAGAGACTACCAGGATCAGATATGTGTGTGTGTGTGTGTGTGTGTGTGTGTGTGTGTGTGTGTGTGTGTGTGTTTGAGTTTGCATACTGTAGATTTTTTCAACAGAACCTGTAAACTTGACAACACAATTAGCAGAATATCATGCTGTGCTGCACCAGATACACAGAGTTTTGGTAATGGTAAATGGCTTTCCGTCGCCACAGCATTACGGTATCTTCCACTACTACATCTCTCTCTAGTTTGCTCTCCACCTTGCTCACTCACTCTCTCTCTTCCATGTAAGACTGTTTAATTACATGCCAGTTCAACACAGTGGAGATGGAGAGACTCAGCCCTATTTCCCATTACACACACCGCACACACTTAAAAATATATCATTAAGAAATAGGAGACGAGAAGAGCGGAGTTGGCATTGATGAAGAGAAAGAAGTCAGGAACAGAGAAGTGAGAGGAGGAAAATGGAGCAAAGAGGAGAGGAGGAATTTCTTCTCTTTGGAACTGAAATCAATGTGTGAGATAAGGCTGTTTTAGGTTTCTATCAGATGATGCAGAGGATCATCTCCTCACAATGGGAAGGCTTTCCCCATTGCTGTGTCAGCAGGCTCCGATTACAGTGGCTTTTTGTTGTGTTTCAAACAATTTCATCATGCCCCCCCCTCCCACACACACACTTTTTGCACTTGGTATGCAATGCAGCACTGGCAATTTGTACGTGTTTGGATTCCAATTATGGAGTTGTTAAAGCTTTTTCGCCTGTGGCCTGCAAATTCTTATTAAGCCATACATTAAAGAGCACGGAATCACATTTAAATGGAGTTCATGTTTCCCTTTTGTTTGCCAGTGTTGTGTGTTGTTATTAATTTATTCAATGCCCTATGCATTACACATTAACAAATAAATCGTGTTTGTGATTGTAATGCAAAATACTTGTTTCTTATTCAGAGATAGGGCCAGCATTTGTCAAGTAAACCAACAACAACAAGCCCAGAGAGAGCAAAAAAGAGAGAAAAACAACCACCAAAATGGAGCCATTCCCTGCTATTACCCTCAACCATTTGTGAAACAAACAAACAAACACACAAACCCAAAACAACAATGACATTTCCGCGGTCTTGGTATTTCTTTACAAGCTGACGTAGAAGGGAGAAAGGGAATTAGACAGCAGTGTGAGTGATTGAGTGATTTGCTTGGTGGCCATTGGAAATCATTAGGTTAGGGGTGCTGGGACAAGGGAGGCTATGGGGAGGGCTGCACCATGACACCAGTGCTACAGTCAGCCACCTGAAAGGTCACGACCCTGGACAGACTCCATCACTATCTGTCTTTCTCATATTGAAAAGCATGGCAGGGTGCAGACTGATTGTCCCAAACAAAAGGAGGCACTTCACAAAACAAGAACTGAATGGGGTTTGGATAAGAGAGATTGAATGCTCGCTGTACAAACACATACGCACATGCGGACACTTCAGGCTTAGAACAGTAAGGCTAAACAGGTTACAGGTCAATCAATGAATCAATGACTGACACAGCATTTTAACCCCCTTTTTTGATGCAGTCCTGCAGAGGTTACAGTGGAGACATAGACAAAGTGCAAGGGTCATTGAAATGGCAGTAAAGATACACATGCACAGGCACACAACAAATATGGATGGTGAATTTGTAGATGGGTAAAAGGGATCTCATATGCAACAAGAAAAACAGATTGCAATATTGTCCGTGTAAAGACACTTAATACATCACCACCCACTGAATACATTTGGCTGTTGAAATGAGATCCAAAACGCAGTGGCTGCTAATAAACCATCTTCAGAGTGGCAGAAATATGATGCATGGTAACCCATATGAACCTCATTAATAGAACACAAGCAAATCTATTTATTCAGACAGTCAGGGGGAAAATGATTGCCTCAATACTCCATCTGGTTTCTCTCCATCTCTCGTCCTCCGTGCCTTCTCTCTTCTCTCCTCTTCTCTTTTCCTCTCTTCTTTATGTATTCAGTGATTTTGACAGATGTTATGTGTATTTGCATGCTTAACATTGGTGCTTGGTGTATGTGTGTGTGTGTGTGTGTGTGTGTGTGTGTGTGTGTGTGTGTGTGTGTGTGTGTGTGTGTGTGCACGCATGGCAGCATACTTGAAGTCTTGCAGTTAGGAATTCACCCTGGAGGGTTTTAACACCACATCCTGTCCTCCCTTCTTCTCTGTCAGTGTCTCTGTCCTTCCTACATCCCTACACTGGTCTCATCCCTTCTTTCTCTCCTTTTCTACCCCCCAAATACTCTCTTGCAGTCCTGTTTCTTTTGTCTCCGCTGCTGTCGCAACTGTTCAGGGTGGGGGACGCTGGGTAGGCTGCTAGGAGCTTTTGACAGGACATGGGGATAGGGAGGCTGGACGGGCCTGGCAATTCATCCAAAGAATTCTCTGCTCATCTCCTACTTTTGTGTTGTGGTTTTTGTTTTTTTCCCCCTCTTCCCTTGCCACCATAGGATATTGTCCACATGTTGCCCGGTGTGTTGCCTGTTTTCATTAAATATCTCTGTTTACTTTCTCACTCACAAGTCCCTCTACACAGATCTGGTTTCTTAATTTTGTTAATTGCTCAGTATCTGGACATAAGAACTCATTATATTAAAACAGGTCAAACATCTTTATTTCCTAATTGTCCATTTTCTTTGCAATTCATTTTCAGCACTGTCCTAATATTCTTGGTAGAGATTTCTTTTAATCTCTTGCTGCGCCGTCTTGTAATGTTTTTAGGTGTTTTGTACACTGTTCTTGTTTGTTTAATTCTAATTAAGTTTATATGTGGTGTGCCTCTGTTGCAGGTTGTGCGTTCCTCACCTACTGCGCCAGAGAGTCGGCCATTAAAGCCCAGAATGCCCTCCATGAACAGAAAACACTGCCAGGGGTAAGTGTCTGTCTGTCTCTCTTCCTCTATCTGTCTCTCTCCCCTGCTCTTCCCACTCTCTCTCTGTTTTCGCTCTATGGTGGTCAGCCATGCCATCTGCACCCGGCTGCACACCAGCCGGCATTCTCCTTGTATAGTCCCAGAGATGAAAAACACTTTGGAAAGCAATTCAATCAATAGCTCAGCCTTTTGAAGGCCCGGTTTCAACTTTTCCATGTGTCTGTTCTCCGGGGGATATTGCCTGCATTGATCAGACCCACTCTGCCTCACACTTTTAAAGCAATAGCATAGAATGACATTTTTTTAGTTGGGGGGAAAGCTCTGCGTCTCTGGAAAGGTGCTATCCGCAGAAAAAAATGGCATACAAAGCTTGAATTAACAATATTGAAATAATTAATTTGATAAAGACAAATTAATTCTATTACATGGTAATTTCAGCTCATAATGTTTGTATTTATGTGGTCATTATATTTGTCATTGTTTTGGTGTTTATGCATTTATGTGTGTGTATGTTAACACATAAATGCATGTCTGTATCTGTCTGAGATCCTCACAAAGGTTTTAAGAACGTCAGAAAGACGCAGAAGGATGGAGGGGTAGGTAGAAATGGCTCCGTACAGAGGCAGCGTGGCTTAACATGCTCAGATCAAGCTTGCACCAGAGAGAAACATCAGTAAAGATCCACCCCCTCCAACACCCCCTTTGATATAAGACAAAGAACCAGAGAAACCAAGCCAAAAGGCACATGTTTGAGTTAAACATGCAAATACAACTACCACAAACTCTGGACATTTTTCCGGTGGCTTTCTTGAAAAACAAGTTGTTTCGTTTATCCTGCAAATTAGCCAAGCACGAGGCTGGAGGGCGTTATTCTCCTCCTTTTTTCCCTCTGCATTTGAATAATAAGATGGAAGACAGCAGAACGGGAAAAAAAAAATATTTCGCATAATGCCAGAGGATGTGTTCTTGATACTTTAGAACTCTGTTCAGCAATGTGTTAAAAAGGGAGAATTTTCTGATTCTTTAACTGTTTTCTTCAGTGGTCTGACTTCCCAGTAAGTTTCTCTCTCATGCCTCACAGTCATTAATCAGCCCCCCCCCCACCCCCCACCCCTCTTGCCAGCCAGGCAGGGTGTCCCTAAGGGTTGACCTACCATTGGGATTAAATAGTTGATGTGGCTGAATGTATAAATGAGGGGCATGAGGGCACAGACATAGACGCTAACAAGTCTGACGCTCTTGCCTGCTCCCTCCCTCCTTTTCTTTGTGCGTTTTGAGAGAAGAGCTGATCTCCAAACCATCTGGGCTCTGAAAGGTTTAACAATCATCTGAATGGAGTGCTGTAAGCAACATTACTATTAACAGCATCACTTGATTTTAACAGAAAAAAATAACACTTAATGACTGTACAGCCATGATACATAGAGTATGTACAAAATAAGCAAACACAGCCTTGCATGTTGCATTTGTTAAACGTGAGTTCTGAAAGCCTTTCCTTTTGAGCGTACACGTTGACACATTGAGTGACTTTGAAAGTTGCACCGTATCACTCGTGAGAAATAAAACCCTTTTCTTGTACCTTTCAGTCCTGCTTTAGCCCTCCTGCTGACTTCCCCTCTACCCCACCCAGTCCCGTCCACCCCTCATCCTCCTGTCTCCCCTCTCTCCCATTGCTCCACTGCTGCTGCTCTTCCTGAGACAGAGCGTGTCATAGAAATGTAACAGGCAGACATTGATGGGTGTCAGGCCTCACAGACGAGGCTGCTCTGCTGTTCCCTTCTCTTCAACTTCACTCACACACATAAACACCACCGGTCCCAGGAAACACAATGTATTGCTATACTGCAGCCAGGCATGGCACAAGCAGGTACAACACTATCTGCACACAGTTACATGACATGCCAGTGTCTGTAAACGTCCAATAAACCCTGTTTACCTAATGATGAACCAACAGCTGAGGAGAGATTTACTCAAAAATAAATGTTTGATTTAAAGAACACTAATTACAATATACAAAAAAATCACACAGGACATTTTAAAATAACTAACATTGCATTGTGTGTGTGTTTGTGTGTGTAAAATGTCCTTGTGCATTTGTCTGCCTCCAATTGCTTATCCTGTCCTTGTCTCTTGAGCCTCCCTGCTCCTAAATCTTTTGCGATATGACCCCTGTTGCTTCACTGCTTGATGGTAAGTAGATATGCCAGTTGTTTGTTTGCAAAATCCTGCTTGATATGCAGTTTGCCAGGGGCTATGATGTAATTAATGTAAACTAGGAATTCTCCAGAGATGAGTTATGAGTTATTAACGTCTACGTTTTGTCATTAACCCCTGCATTGCTGCTCTCTTGCAGGGGGCTTTGACCGGTGTGGTTACTCATCCATGTCTGTTATTTTAAATATTTGAATCTGTATTCCTGTCAAACCACCAAAATCCTGCTGGACTTTACTTGTTGCAAATGAGTTGAACCGTGTATGAAAATTGTACCACCTAACAAGCTATTCAGAATCTCATGCAGGGCCTTTGCTGAACACTGAGCACAAACAAGCCCACCCACATACACGCATGCCGGCATACATATAGACACCAGCATGTACTCACTTGAATTTCATGAGATGGAGTGTTAGAATTTTGGGGTTCAGCTGGAAGGCCTGGGTTCACACCCTGTGTCTACTCTAATGTCCCTGGGGAAAGCACTGAATCCCTCACCTTTCTTGTTAAAAGGGCCAAGAGAAAATATTTTAGATACGAGTTATAACCCTTAAGATTTCCGTCCTGGTTGATTTGGCATTACCTGTGGTGACTTTTAGCAACCACACGTTTTAAAACCCAGAGTTCAGTTTTCATTGACACTTGTATTTACCACGAGGGCAGCAAGCACACCTTGAGTGGCTACTCTTGTCAGATATACAAAAGAAGACAAGGATCTTTTTATTGCGCATCCAAATAAATGTGGGCTGAGAGGATTCATGTTTTAATTTACTGAAGAACATGATCAAATGTGTCATTAGGTAATACTGAACTTCTGATCGAATGTTATTTCTTTAATCTTCCGCATATCTTCTATTTCTAACTCTGCATGGATTGTCTAGGAGTTATAATTCTCAAAATACTTTAAGTATCAAGTGATTGTTATACATGTTGTTTGTTTGCATACAGTCAGATGCTAGCATGGAGGCACTGGTTGCCACACACATAAACACACCCAACCCAGTGTCCTCTTATTATCAGAAAGAAGCGCCTGTGATCTTGGATGTTATTATCCATGTCCCCCTGTTACACATTAGCTCCTGAAAGGAACAGTATGGCCTAATGGAAGTGTACTGGACTGGAATATAGATTCCTGCGGTGAAGTGTGATGGGAACCTTGGGGACACGGGTGCCTGACATAAGTTTGGCCACCGAATAGGAGAAGCTCTGACAGTTTACCAGGTGTGTGTTGCTTGGCTCTATTAGCTGGGCATGTTTGTGCGTGTGTGCTAAGCTGGCTTTGCATTGCAGCCAGCCCTATGTAGATACAGATAGCAGTGTATAAAGGTGGGAAGAAAAACATGTGCACATGGCAGCTTGCCGTGATCACACACCGCCCACGACAGTGAGGCTTGAATACATTATTTGTGTGCTGTTTCGTGCTTGTTTGCTTCTGATGGAGTTGCACTACTTTAGATTACATAACCATATGAGGGCTTTTGAGTTTGTGAATATACTGGCGTGCATTAACTTTAGAACCCAAGAATCAATCGTTTTCTTTTACCAAGTAAAATCTAAGCATGTCTTGATAACCTAGGATACTGGTGAGCCTTTATGACAAGGCCAGACAGTTAGGTCCCGATGGCTTTTTCTACAGCAGTTGGTGTGTGTGGTTGTGAGTGTCACAGCTCTCTACACAAGTCCGAGGGAGATTAACTCCACCCAGCCTCAGAATCATGACAAAATCCTGCATCCTTCACACTATCCCCCTCCCTCAATCCCCCACCTCTCCCTACTCTCTGTCCTCTCACCACCACTCCTCAAATCCAGCAGATCCAAGAAATAATCTTAGTCACTGCAGCAGGTCTATTTGTTGTACCACAGAAAAACATGCCACCCTCCCCTTTTTGTCATGCTAGCATTGTGTACAACAGTGATTGTCTTGGTGAGGCAATGGCGGAAATGTGTTTGCTGCATGCATTTACTCCTAGTATTAGTACAGCTCGACCTGGGGGGAGTGTAAGAGGCTGGCAGTGATTCAGGAGGCAGGTTTATGGAAATAGCACCCGCATTAAAAACCCAATGAGAGCAGGGAGAAGATTATGCTTCGGCACACACATGTGGGCTCTTGCAATGTCAACACTCTAAGTAGATCCCCTCCCTCTCAATTGCCTCCGTCTCCCTCTGTCTCCATTTCTGTCTCTCCCGCTCTCTCACTCTTGCGCGGTGCTCTTTGCTGCACACATACTGACACAGTTTGCTGTGTGAGTGCACGTGGATTCCTGTATGCTTGTGTACCTGTATGTGCATGAATTTACGTATTTGTGTGTGTTATTGTTTGTATGTGCCAGTGCTCAGCTTAACCGTAATAGGATGTATGAGAAGCGAGGAGCAGAGCAGGGCTGTGTTGCAGAGAGTGGCCGACCTTGTGCTGTGGAAAAGAGGCTGCCGTGCGATGGAGCCGTTCCACGCTACAAACCGCCTAGCCTTCCACTGGGCTTTGCACACAAACACACACACACACACACACACATGCGTGGACACAACCATAACATATACACCCATACTTTTGCATGCATGCTATCCACCTGTTTATCAACTACAGCAAAGCTGTGCCGACCTAGCTGCTGTAAAGCTGAATAATTCAATGCTACACTCTGTGAAGGTTGGTGGAGTAAGAGTGTAGTGTATTGTACGATTGTGTGTGTGCTGTACGTGCCTGTGTTGAGTGGGCAGGGGTGGGGGAGGAAGTGGAGCGGACTGGTCAGCATGAAGCCAATCGGTGCTGGCAGGATTGGAGGCCTTGTAGT